GGTTTGGGAGAATGCTGAAGGGCATAGGCGCCAGCCTTCTGGAAATGCCATGGAGACACATCTGGCCCCAACTTTCTATAGTAGAGGTTGTGAAACTTAACCACATGGCAGGATTGCCTTTAGATTGTTTATAGATCCTAGGGCCCAGGGAGAATCCCAGACCAATTAAAATCAGGAAGGATGGGGCCGGCATTGTAGCATAGTTGGTAAAGCCAACAGCTCTGAAGCTGGCACCCCATGTGGGTGCCAGTTCAAGTTCTGGCTGTTCGCTTCCCATTCAGTTCCCTGCTAACGACTTGGGAAAAGCAGTGGAAGATGGCCCAAGTGCTTTGGCCCCTGCCACCCACATGGGAGACCCAGAAGAAGCTCATGGCTCTTAGCTTTGACCTGGCCCAGTGCTGACTGCTGTAGCCATCTGGGGAGTGAACCAGCAGATGGACACTCTCTCTCTCCATGTCTCTCCCTCTCTCTGTAGCTCTGACTTTCAAAATAAATTTTAAAACCTTGTTTTTTTAAAAAAAAAAAAAACAGAAGGAATGGTATTTCTTTTATAAATATAAACTTTCCTTTTGGGACCAACTTAACCTACCTTTGTCCTTTCAGGTACCTGTTTCCACCAAAGAGGAAGCAGAAAAATCAAATCACATTGTTGTTTTTTATAGCTTAACCTTTGGCAAGCAACTTAGCCTGTCTTTGCCTCAATTTCCTCACCTCTAAAACAAGAATATTTGTCATACCTACTTCTCAGGTTTCTAAGGATCCTTTGAAGAGATAATACCTTAAAAACACTTGGGACATTTCCTGGCATGTGGCAAAGGCTTAGTGCATGTTAGCTACACATGTGCTACGTTCATATCATAGCAAAGTTCATGCATAGTCAATATTTCATCTTGCTGTCATTTTTCAACAGTGATCTGTCTTAACCACTAAGCCCCAAGTTTTCAATTTTGTGAAAATTGGTAATAGAATATTTATTTCAAAGTTATCATAAGTAGTATATCTACTGCTCAATTTTAGTCTTTCTAGGTGTGCTATATAATACCTATAGCACAAGGGGACATAATGGGTTAAAACATGCAATTCTAAAATAACACCTGCTTAACAGATTTACTTAGTACCCATTAAGTTTTGTAAAGAACCTTATCTTTGAAATTTCTAGAAAGAATGAAAAACTAAATTAAACATTTCAGTAATTAGGTGTGTATTTTAATAAAGATATTACTGGTTTCCATTGATAGTAAAGAATATTCATTCTCAAATATACACATCCAAACATATTAAAATCTTTTTTAGTCTCTTTAGAAATAGCTGTATTTATGAAATTAATCTACCTGAAACATTTAGAACCGCACTGATGGCACTAAGTGATCAGAACGATGTTATCTGAAATAGGTCTTACCTATTTGGACACAGTTTTAAGGAGCACTTATACAATAATAAATAAGATCGTTAAATCCATTTCTGCCTCTGGAAATGAATTATTGTACTCTATCATCTCAATTTTAACAATTACTTGAAAATTTGAATTAAAATTCAATAAAATAAGTACCATAGGAGTTTACAAGATTTGAAGAAAAAATAAATTTCAAACTATATTAAAACTTGGAAAGTGTGAACACATTTTTGTTCATTATTTTCAAAATGTGAGATATTTTTGAGTAGTGTATATGATTTGTTTATAAAGCAAGTTTCTCTCCGCTTCTTTCTGTGAAGCTTTTCCAAAGTGATCTGCCTAGAGTAGGTCCAGAGGTTTGGCCATGTACATATATTTTTCCCAAAGAGAGAGCTTTGTAAAGCAAAAGTGCTAACATTCTTTTTACAAGGACATCTGCACACACACAAATGCATTGTTATGTCTGAATAAGTTTTACTTCTGTGGATGATCTCTTGAAAATAGACTTTTCCGAGTAGTACTACTATCCTACTGCTCAGTATTATAAATGTTTGCTTCCCATCACAAGTATTTAGAACATAAATTAAAAGATATATAAACATTCAAAACTAAGCTAATGTTACTGATTGTTTGGGCCTTTTAAAAAATTGACTATTTTTAAAATAAAACATTATTATGGCATTGACTTTCAACTGTCAATGAAAAGTTTTCATTGTTAATATTCTTGTTAGTACTCTTTAAAAATCTGTGGTTTGTGAACATTTCAGCCCACCAAACACTAAAATTATTTGACGTCTCTTACAAGTGACTTAACATGCTACTAGAAGGGTATTTATGGGAAGTTATAAAACTACTTAGTAACATCAGACTAACTTTTCTTGTGGTTTTTTTTTCCAATCTGTTATGTTTTCATTCTATACAGTATTATGAAAAAATGAAAATCCTCTAATATTCCACAACAATTTGTTTTTGTCTATAGAGAGGAGCATTGTTCAAGCATTGGGTGAAATTGTATTTTCCTTGGAAATATTTATTTTCTCTAATTCCCAAATTTATAATCATGAATATTTCATTAGCCAGCAACAAGTCTCCACTTGGCCTTTCTTTCTCTTTCTTTGCGTTCTCCTATTTGGAGGTGACGACGCCCTAAAGGGTTAGGGCCAGGAACATGCACCTCACCTTGAACTCAATGAGAGAGCACTACTAGAACTAAATTGACTACGTGCTTTAAAAACAAATAATGATCCCACCAAAGCCACAGCTTTGATAACATAAAAAGTGACAAGCACTTTGCTCCAGGACTTTCTAGGAGAAATAATGCTACTAAAAAAAATGTATAACAAATTTGAACTAAAGAAAAGCATATACCAACAAAAATGGGTATTGCCATAGTAACTTAGAACTTGCATCTTCTTTAGAAAGCTCTTCAGTCTCTTTAACATATGGAAAAAATTAATCCTGCAGACTATGCTCTCTCTCTCTCTCTCTCTCTCACACACACACACACACACACACGAAGATGAAAATCCAGATTCTTTCATTCTGACATTTTAAAACCCCTAACTCTGTAGCAAACACTAGAAAACTAAGGCAAACACCTAGAGGCTTTAAAAATGATCCTGTAAGAACTACGAATATATTGCCTAGACATTTTAGGAAAGATGATTTGGGGGAAGTATAGGGACTGGATTATTTGTCCCTCCCACAAGCTAACAGTGTCTCTGAATGCTGGCATCAGAGATGTGGCCATCAGAGAAATGTCTCCACAGTCCCCTTCCCCAGAAAATCGCTTTAGCTCTTCCAAGAATCACAAGGTGGTTACATTTTGAAATTAGAACACAGAAAACTCAGGAGAAAGCCACTGCTCACTCTGCTCTTCAGGTCTGGATACCAGGGAATAACAGCTTTCAGCCACTGCTGGCCCTGCACTTCAATCAATTTGCAAGTATTCCAAAAGAATATAGTGTCAGGAAGGTAGGATACTCAAGCAAGACAGCACTTCATGGATTAAATATTTTAATTTCTTCTTTACTCCTTTCCCACTGTGCTGAAAATTTTTGTCTCTCCCTCTACATGCACACACACACACACACACACACAGCTGATGAGACAGCAAGGGTGAGCCTCAGGCCAGGCTGCAAGTTAGATCAGAGCTGGAATTAGAACCCAAATCTCAGTAACAGGAGCCAGCCAACTGCTATTCTAGACTCAGAACAAATCTGCTTCAGCCTCATGAATTGTATTTACACCAAATCATGTTTAATTTGATGCTGCTTGTAATACATTGACTCCTAAAGAAACCTGCTGAAGCCCCCTTTCTGGTCTTAGATCCTGCCAGTTGCAAGCTGAAGGCCAGCTACTAAGGCTCCAGGCCTCTTACGCGACCTCTCTGGACACTCCCCTCCTCTAAATTTAGTGGACTGAACTGGAGATGTCTGAGGAACTTTCCAGTTGCAAAAGTCCTGCTTTTCATCCCCTGCCTTATGCTGCACACTTGATGTTCACAGTGTTCACTAGGTGGCAGGATTCCACCATCACATTCTAGAAAAGGATTTTCCAGTGGATGCCTGGGAGCGGAAGATTGAAAAGAAACTCCTTTTTTCACATCAAACATTAAAAAAAAAAAAACCAACAAACAAAAAAACCACACAAGCCAAAAGGAAAGAATAACTGTAAGGGCAGTGGTCTATATACTTTATAAAGATATAGGTCCATTTTTAATACAAGTATTAAGATAGGAAATTAATCTCTTAGAACCTCACATTCTTTCAAACAGTATTACAATTTGCTATTACAATCAGGCAAAAGTTTGCTTGGCTTCATGTGTTTTAAGATTAGCTGGATATTAATGAGATAATAGCAGACCCCCTTGAGCAAGCTGGTAGTATATTAAGCTAAGAAACAAGCAATCTAATAGCAGCAAAAACGCTGGAAATACTTATTCGAGGCATTGTAAAGATACCTCTTAAATACCTTATATTTCAGGTATCTTTGAATTTTATTTCCAGTTCTTAACCAGATGCCTAAAGAGGACAGACTACAGTACATGGGTTTCTGCATCAATCTCTGTCCAATCCTTAAAAGGATGTTTTTAAAAATAGATTTTATGACATTTCATCATACTTTAAAAGTTATTGCCCAAAATTGGCCTTTTCATGAAATGCTACATAACAAATGTTACTACCAAAAATTTTATGAAAGTCCCCCAAATAACCAAGCTAAGTGGTTATGCTGAACTGGACATTTCTTCTTTGCTGGAGCCAAGAAAAATGGCACAAAACAGTAACTAACAATATTCTAGCATTACTCCCTGGCGGCTTGCTGCTTGTCAATTAATAAAGTAGGCCTTTTCTTCGGTTGATAAATATGGCAGACTCTTTTTTCCCCTCTTATCAACTGCAAATTAATTACATAACATATGCCAATATATTATTCTCCAAAGTTTCTTTAAAAGACAGCAACAATCCACATCCTAAAAAAACTCAACGGCAGCATCACAATCAAAGCAATAGACGTCTGCGCCAGAACTTGAACAAAGGTCAAGAAGTTGCCTTCCTGCCCTCCTGGCCAGCACCGAGCAGCGGTAACACCTCGTTCGTGCGCCTACCTTTGCCACTTGTAAGGGCTGCTTGTGCTCCTTGCCACCTTGCAGTCGGAACCCCCAGGGCGCCCCTCCAGTCATGGAAATGCAGATAAAATCCCCCGTGCCCATTTTTTCCTCTTAGTTGGGCAGCATGAAGAGCTGGGGGAAAAAAAAAGGCAGGCGAAGCTTGGGTGCGGCCGAAGATGTGCTCTCAGCGCGGGGCGCCCGCCAAGGACGCAGGACTGGGGCGCGCAGAGCCTCTCGTTGCCGCCCCGCCGCTGCGCTGGCCGCCGCTGCGAGATTGCGGCGCTAATGGGCTCATTGAGATGGAGGCAGAGGCGCCCGCTAGCATCCAGGACACAGCCCCCTCTTGCGTCACGCTCCTTCGCTCAGCCCACCTTCGGTGCAGGGAAAAGAAAGCCACCGCTTCAGGCCATGATGGAATGGAATCGCCGGGACGGAGAGGGATGGCTAACTTTCCCTTGTACTAACAGGTAAAATCCCAGCACTTAAAAGAATGATCGGAAAAATAGACATTAGTAATTCTATGAATTGCAGAGGACATATGAAGGTTTTAATCTCCATGCCTGGACTGACATCCTCGGCTAACAGAGGATTCGATTCTCCCAAATTCATGCTCTAAGAATTACCACATTGATGAATGAAATAGACAAAAGGGAGGCCAAGTGGGTTGGATTATTGTTTCTGTCTACAACCTGCAGAATTAGTTGTACAAGAGGAAACAAAAGAAACCCAAATATATTTTTTTAAACCTCGTACCCTGAGAAGTACTTTTCTGAACTCTGATACACATTTAGAGAAGGGAAAGAGCCTGATAATTTCCTCCTGGAAACTACATCCTTACAACTTTGTTGCATAGATTGGGAAACTTTAAATGTAAGTAAGTGTTTCATTTTCTTCCTTCCTGCTGGAGGAAGGGAGGACAACACAATCAGCAACTGTGGCCACTGGCAGAGGGCCTCTGAAGGTCCTGAGAGGCAGATCCTCACTCCAAGTTTGAGTCTCTTCGGAAACATGAATCAGCTATCTCAAAATTTTTCTTAAAAACAAAAACAAAAAACTTAACAATTCACATCATCAATAAGCTCTGGAAAAAAAAAAGAGTTAAAAAAAACTTTTCACAGTTGCTCTTTCCACTCTCCCCTGTCTTTTCCATCTCCCTTCTTTGGCAGATTCTATGCCTCTGCTTGCCCATTAAATGGAGTTGTTTATTATAGCCATGACCTGGTCCTCTTTCTCACTCCACTTTTGTGTGGGTTCTCTCATTTATCCTGCAGAATCTAGCTGTCCCCTGCAATCTCAGATTTCTTTGCTTAGCTCTAGGTCAGTATATTAAACTACTTATTAAATCTATCTCAAGGTGTTAATTTATCTTAGAAACCTAAAACTCAGTGTATTCAAAACCAGGCTAATTAATTTCCTCATGAACTCTGCTTCTCTCCCTCTGTTCCTCATCTCAGGATAACTGAGTACCCTACGCCCTTTCTTGTATGCCTGATTTCCTTCAACTCTTGCTTACATATAAAAGTGATGATTTGAGGTTGAACTGGGACACCCATACTGTGATCCTAAGGCAAACACTAAGATAATTGCAGAGACAACATTCTTGAATGAGTCAATATCATCAGCTCTTCACCTCCAATTCCCTTATCATACAAGAAAAATAAATCGGATTTGTTTAAACTGCTGTAAGTCCAGCACATAGTTAACTTGAATAGCTTCTCCTATCCAACCAGCTTGCCTAGACAGAACCAGGAAATCAAATTTGGTATAATTTATTGAAGATTACTGTGTGCCAGGAGCTTGACATACAGTATGTTATTTATTCTCAAAGCAGTCCTTCTAAGTAGTTATTAGTACCTGTCTTTTGCTGGTAATTAATCAAGCCCTAAATCCTATCAGGAGTGGGGAACCTTTTTTTCTGCCAAGGGCAATTTGGATAATTATAACATCATTTGCAGCCAAAATTAGAAACTTAAAAATTTGACTGCTATAAATTTATTGAATTTCAAGTCCTGCCTGCAGTTGCCTTGGCCAGACTAAATGATTTCTCAAGCTGGATGTTTCCCACTCCTGTTAGGTGGTAGAGCCAAGATTTGAGCTTTTATCTGCCTAAGTTTAAAATACCTATTCTTAAGTACTGTTATCCTGCCTCCAGGCTTTAGGAATCCCATTATGCTCATCTCATGCATCCAGGGGTCTATAAAAGCTCATGGATCCAACTTATAAATATATTGCAAATGTGATGCTTCACTCTGTTCCCACTTGGACATCAACATCCTCAAATGATCTGTCTGTTCCAGGCTTGTTTCCGCCCTTAATTCAATTTTCGTTCCATAGACGAAATAAAATTTCTGAACTATAATACCTATTTTGTTGTTCCTGTTTAAAATGTTCAAGAGCTCCCAGAATAAAGTCAAACTCCCATAGGAACATGACACTTTCTGCCTCACACTTCCCACTCCTCCCACCTCATAGTTCGCTGTTCCTCACCTTGAATTCCATGATTCAGACACACAGAACTACTTTTAATTTCTCTGACTTGATTTGTGATGCCATCTGCTTGGGCATTCTTCCAAACCATCTAGTCCTCTCCAACGAATGTATCACCTGGTAATTCCTAGTCACCCTTTGAGGCTTATGAGTGAAAGTCATAAGGAGTCTTCCTGACTCCCAGGTTAGGGGCTTCTTCCACGTATGGCCATCACTCTGTACTTCCCCTCCCATCCTAATGGTCTGTTAGATTGACTGAATTCTACACTAGATTAGGACTCTGTGAAATTAAGGGTCATTTCTGATTTATTCAGAATTTATTCCCCAATCGAATGCAGTTTATAAGGAATAATTAGTGCTCAATGAGCATGAGTAGATGAAGATTTCTCAGAATGAAGTTATAGAAAAGAGAGCCAAGGAGTTCTGATTTATTTTCTTTTTTTTTTTCATTCCACTTGGAAAAATCTAAAAGCAGACCAAAATCCTTAAATTATAGCACACAGAGACCATATGAGTGCATTGTACCTTTTCCTCCTGGGCTCCATTTGTCCTTCTACCCCAGTTTGGAAGAATCCATTGACCTATGGCCATCAGACTCATCATTTCTTCTAACCACAGAGATTAGTAAAGAATGAATACAAAAAGTATGCCTCAATCAAGGAGTTATCCTTGACCCCAGGATTAATTTATGCATGATTTAATCATGGAGAAGTTCAAGACTTCTGGATAGTTGTCAGGGTCAGGCCATCTCCCCATGGATAGGGAAGTCAGTGTGAGGATGAAACCACTACATTGTATGTTGGGACAGACAGTACTTTGTGGATCTCTTGTGCTCCCACATCTTTCTGGATATGCCAAAATTTTGGACTTCTTTCTGCTAACTCTTTCCCTGAGCTGTTTCTTAGGGTTATGTTTAGCAAACAGTATAATGAAGCAGTATCTCATGTCTGACCAAGAACAGGTTTGCTAACTGGTTATCATGAAAGCAACAAAAACTCTAAATTTAATGTTCCCTAGCTGTGATGCAAACTCACTGTGTGTTTGCATCATGGATGGATACTTACAGATGTGTGTGTAGCATCCATCTGAGTCATGCTACGTTACTCCTATGGGACTTGGGGCAAGATGACCCAGTACAAGCGTGCTGATGTCATTGCTACTTGTGGGCCTGGAGTAAGATAGTTCTTTGTTTCTGACCCACAAGTCACCTGCCTTCTTTCAGTACTATTAAACAGTAACAGGCAAGCTAATTTAGTAGTTTGCAAGAACAGTAAAACAGGATGAAAATGAGACAGGAGTAGAATCATGGAACCAGAACCCTGATCAAATAGCACTTAGCCTACCCTTTATTTTATTTGGGTTTTAAGAAGAGCAAATGCAAGAAATTTAAATTTATAAAGACAAAGAATGACTTAAACAGTTTTGACAACAATCTTCTAGGACTAAATCTACTTCCATGCTATTTAAATAATTTAAAAATGTACCAGATGCTTTGTTTTATACTACATTTCATTCATTTACTTGAGTAATTCTTCATTCAGCAAATAATTCCCATTAAATTATTTCCCACTTTGACAGCATGGTAAGATCTCTGGGCCTAACTTGAACTGGGAAGGCACATTATGAAGCAAAAATATTTCATTAAACAGAGAAAGAAACACACCAAAAATGTTTGCATATTCCATAATAACTTCAAATTGGCTACTTATGCCTGACTCATGCCTCTTTTTTATACTTTTAGCTAAATTTTCACTCTGAAATGTCACTGCTTTCCATTTTGAGCTAATATCTATGATTTTTTCCTGATCATTCAAAGGCCTAGAAGTGAGTTATCATTATGAATTAAATAGTGACTTGTTTTTGGAGAAACCAAAGAATCACAGCCAAAGGAGTGAATATTATTGTCTAATTGCATAAAATTTAAATAGCCAAATCTGAGATGATGCACTGTGATTTCAATGTCTTCATTCCCTTTGGATCACTAAAACGTTATGCTTTCTAGAAGTTCTTCTAAAAGAGTTAGCAGGCATTTTGCAACATTGGATAATGTATTTATGAGTTCAGTTTAAACGACTCACCAGTTAAAAAACACATGAATTAAAGTCCTCTTAACACACATGTATATGAAAAGTTTCAATTTCAAAAAGCATATTTATAAGAACTTGAAGTGTGTGTTGTGTTTTAGGAGAGCTATGGTGAAGTTAAATAAACATATTTGAAGATGTGGTTTTAAACATTTGATATTCCTTAAAGAGTATACATTGGCCTGTAATGTCAAGTTGTAAAATGTTAATGCTGTGACTTGTAATATCTACTGATTGTAATGTGGCTACTTTTTTTATGAATAAATATTACACATTTTGTACTTTAGGTAGTTCTGTATTATATGAAACATCAGAAAAAGATAATTTTTAAGGAAAAAAATGTACTGCCAATAAGTTATTGAATATTTAAATGTAGCTTCCATATTTTTAAACAAATCCATTTTTTCCTTGGGTCATAGTCATTATTTGGAACTGTTTCTAACATAGAGCCCTTAAATCAGTGTTTAAATTTAAAATTTTAAAACAATGGACTTTGTTTCTGTTGTTTCATTTTATTTTTCCCTCAAAAAGAGCAACTGGCAACAGTGAGACACAAGATTACATATAAAGAAATAAATTAACATCCCAAAGATAACAAGATATTTTTAAATGATTTTTGTTCACCTCTAGGAAACATAGTTGCTGAGATTACTAATAGATAGCAGCTCTTTATCCTAAGTGCTAAACAAGATGCATTTCTAGACAATTAACATGATGAATAACTATTTGGGAAGCCAAATTTAACAGTCATGAAACTGGCTAGCAAGAATCACTACTTCATCACCTGCTGACCCCAGTGGGGCCTGATGCAAGTTGAGTATGTGTGTCCCTTTCCTGGAATGCATGTCAGGGAAATGCCATCGTCCCTGAAATGCCTTTGGAGCAGCTGATGGTGGCGCTCTGCAGCATTCCAATGGGGGAGAGAAAGAGCAAGGTGAAAGGAGACGCCTCAGGCCCTCCCTTCAAACAAATTTGCCTGGTGTGTGCAGACTCTGGGTCAGGGAGTTGCAGGGATGGGTTGTGGAGGGGGAGGTGGTTTGGGGAAAAACTATCAGTGTGGCTGCAGCTGCTGATTTAAAATTCTGAGATACAGGCTGGGAGTACCAAGGAGCTGTTCACTCACAATGCTCGCTGTTGCTGCCTTGTTCAATCTCAGTGGTAGGGCTCCATAGGAAAGGACCACAGTCTGGGTCATAAACAACAAAAATGTATTTGTTCATTTTCTTGTGGCTGGAGGACTGAGATGGAGGTGTTAGTAGGGTTGGTTCCTTCTCCAGTCTCTCTCATTGGCTTCTAGATAGCTTCCTCTCAGTCTTTCCATGGCCTTCCTTTGGGATCTGTCTGTGCTAATCTCTTCTTCTTGTAAGGGCCCTAGTCCTATTGGATTAGAGCCCATCCTAATGATCTCATTTTAATGTAATTGCCTCTTCCATCACCTTATCTCTAAATGCAGCTACATTCTGAGTTACTGGGGCCTAGGACTTCAATGTATGAATTTGGAGGGATGTAATTCAGCCCATAACAAGGAGGCATAGCGTACTGACGACCCGACTGTCAGTTTCTTTCCAGTACACAAAAATATATGAAATATATGAGATGGGATGATTTTTCAGATTTTTTATGTATTTGGAGAGAGAAAAAGAGAGAGAGAGAGAGAGGGAATCATCTGTATTTTGTCTTTCTTCTTATAAGGGCAGTAATCCTACTCATGATGGCTTCATGACCTAAATATCTTCCAAAGGCTCTCACTTCCAAATATCATCACATTAAGGAACTTAGGCTTCAACATACAAATTGCAGGAATGCACACTCAACCCACAGCACCTGGGGAGGAAGAGGCCCTAACCATATCTGAATTGGCTCCTCCACCAACCCAGTGAGATGGGGACTAGATTTGGAGTAAATTGATTAAACTTATAAAGATGATACTCTTGAGATAATTAAAAAGGTCTTTATATACTTTCAAGTTCATAGTTCATTCATTCATTCAAACAGTATATGTATGAATGAATGAATGATGTCAGTTGCTCTTCTGGGTTCAGATGATGCATCTATGAGCCACACAGGCAAGATTCCTGCTTTCTCAGAGACACCACGTTTTCCTGGAGTCATTATACAATAAATAAGTTATCAAAATATATTCAGATAAAAGTGAGGGGTGAATGAAAATACAGCAGAGAGTGATTGGAGTGGTATACATACGGTAACCAAAAAAGCCTCCCTGAGCGGAGATCCAAGTGACAAGGTGCCCATTACGGGAAACATGGGAAAGTGGGAATCAGGGCAAGAGCATGCTTTGCTAATCCAGGGCAGAGATGACAGCAGGTGTAGCTGCAGTGCAGTGGGTTCATTCCCCATCTCTGGAAGACAATTTAATAGGAAGCCAGAGGAAGCAGAGCTTCTGGGACCCTCATTTCCATGATCCTGTCCAAGGCCTTGGAAGAGCACCAACATCTGCTTACATGTCCACAGACCTTTGGACAATTTGCCAGTGTAAAATACTTAAACCAAATTTGGTTAAGATTCCTGTCAACTCCAACCTCCCTGTTCTACAACATTAGAGTAGTCATGAGAATTTCTGAAATACAGCTCAGGCGAAGATGAGTTGAAGGTTTGTTCAGTTTCAGTTGAGTGAAAGATGAGCTGGCTTCAAAATTTCATGGAAAATGCACGTTATGAAAATCCATTCATGGGCCAGCACTGCGGGTTAAAACCCTGGCCTGAAGCGCCAGCATCCCATACAGGTGCCGGTTTGAATCCCAGCTGCTCCACTTCTGATCCAGCTCTCTGCTATGGCCTGTGATAGCAGTGGAAGATGGCTCAAGTCCTTGGGCCCCTGCACCCATGTGGCTCCTGGCTTCAGATCGGCTCAGCTCCAGCTGTTGTGGTCATCTGGGGAGTGAACCAGCAGATGGAAGACCTCTCTCTCTGTCTCTTCCTCTCTCTGTAACTCTGTCTTTCAAATAAATAAAATAAATCTTTAAAAAAAAAGAAAAATAAAATCCATTCATGTATTTCAAAACTGTCTGCATCAAAATAAACATCTTTTATTACACTTTTCCACAAACTTTTTGAAATATGTTCATATTTACATTTATAAGGTCAATACGAACATTTGTAAAAGTTGTAATAGTGGTGTTTAAAGTGTCTAACAAGTAAAAGAAATGTAGTCAATGGAGTCCTGAGGGAAGCTTAGCATTGCAGCCAAATTTTTTATATGGGTAGCAAGTTTTTAAATTGAGAACCACTTGGGGCCTTTGCTGTGGCATAGTAGGTTAAACCTCTGCCTGCGGCATCAGCCTCCCATATGGGTGCCAGTTCACATTCTGGCTGTTCCTCTTCCAATCCAACTCTCTGCTAATAGCCTGGGAAAGCAATGGAAGATGACCCAAGTGCTTGGGCCCCTGTACCCACGTGGGAGACCTGGGTCCTGGTTTCAGATCAGCCCAGCTCCAGCCATTGTGACCATTTGGGGAGTGAACCAATGGATGGAAGACCTTTCTCTCTATATCTGTAACTCTGCCTCTAAAATAAGTAATTTTTTTAAAAAGATCCATCCATTTACTTGAAAGTCAGAGTTACACAGAGAGAGGAGAGGCAGAGAGAGAGAGAGAGAGAGAGAGAGAGAGAGAGAAAGAGGTCTTCCATCTGCTGGCTTACTCCCCAAATGGCTGCAATGGCTGGAGCTGTGCCGATCTGAAGCCAGGAGCCAGAAGCTTCTTCTCAGTCTCCCACATGGGTGCAGGGGCCCAAGGACTTGGGCGATCCTCCACTGCTTTCCTAGGCCATAGCAGAGAGCTGGATCAAAAGTGGAGCAGCTGGGACTCGAACCAGCACCTATATGGGATGCTGGTGCTTCAGGCCAGGGCTTTAACCCACTGAGCCACAGCACCAGCCCCGATAAATAAATCTTAAAAAAAAAAAAAAAAAAAAAAGTTGAGAACCACTTGTAACTGAATATGCAAAAGTATAAACGCATTGCTGCATTTTGTTGCCCTGCAATAATATTTACCTGACCAAACAGTGTGTGCTATCAGCAGATCACAGGCGGGCTAGCTACTCTGCTTTGTCCATTCATCTAACACAGTTTCATTATTTACAACAGGCACTGTTCTAGGTACAAGACATATAGAACTGAACAATTCAGACAACACCCAGGCCCTGCAGAAGCTCATATTCTAACACACAGGAGAAACAATAAACAAAAATCACTCTGTTTTACCAGCTGTTGGCAAGTGCTAGGAAGAAAAATAAAGCTGCGTGTATGGGGTTTATGGAGGAAGGTTGGCTACTCCCAGGAAAGCCTTTTTGGCATGAGGAGGTGACATCTGAGCAGAGTCCTGTTCTCTGTGTTGCAGTGGTGGTCGTCATGGATTTATGTCATAAATATATTCTGATCAGTTGGTGACTGCTTGTTAGTTTCAATGGGCAGCATAGGTAGGTGGAGAGACAGAACATTCGTGCGAATTCCAAGCCTAGCTCTGCTATTGTCTGTACCGCCTTGCATGAGTCACTTGTGCTTTCAGAACCTTGGTATTCTCTTTCTTCCAGATTGCTGTGAAAAATAAATGAGAAAATATATATGGAGAGAGAGAAAGAGACTTTTCACTTGCTGGTTCACTCCCCAAATGGCTGCAACAGCCAGGTGTAGGCCAGCCTTAAAGCTGGGAGTCAGGAATTCCATCCAGGTCTCCCACATGGATGGCAGGGGTCTAAGCACTTGGGCCATCCTCTGCTGCTTTCTCTAGCACATTAGCAGGGGGTTGGATTGGAATTGGAGTGGCCAGTACAGAATCAGCACTCCATTATGGGATGCCAGTGTTGCAAGTGATAGCTTAATCTTCTGTGCCATAACACTGGCCCTAAACACTTTCTTTCCCCTGTTATTTATTTGAAAGTCAGAGTTCCAGAGAGAGATTGGGAGAGACAGAGAATCTTCATCCACAGGTTCACTCCCCAGGTTGAAGCCAGGAGCCAGGAGCTTCCTCCAGTCTCTGACATAGGCACAGGGCCCAGACACCTGGGCCATCTTCTGCTGCTTTCTCAGGTGCATTAGCAGAGAGTGGATTGGATGTAGAGCAGCTGGGATTTGAGCTGGTGCCCAAATGAGATGCTGGTGCTGCAGGCAGCAGCTTTACCTCCCATGCTACAGCACTAGCTCTGACAGTTGTTTTTAAAACAATATTTAAACAAATGCCTGACAAACAGTAACTGCTTAATAAATCTTTGCCTTTTCAGGGTGTCCTGTCTGGATGGAAATATAGCTACATCTGAGTGGAGAAGGATCCTAAGTTAACAGTCAAGAGTTTCTGGAAGAAAATAGCTTTTTTTTTTTTTTTTTGAGAACCAAGACAGAAATTATTTTAATACACAAAATAGAGAAATTATGCCCTACATATATAATAAAATACATCAGGCATATTAAAATAAAATATGCAGAAGTGGGCGTTATGGTGCAATGGGTTAAGCCGTTGTGTGGGAGGCCCACATCCCATATCACAGTGCTGGTTCCAGTCCTAGCTACTCTGCATTTATGAGCCAGCTCAGTGCAGCAGGCTTCTCACAAGAGTAAGAGATTTCCTAGAAAATGGGTAATTATGGCAAGAGAGTCAGCAGTTACTGAGCAGAAAGTATAATGGCCACCACTGTTTGAAGAATGGAAGTTGCTAACCAGATTTCATGACCCTTCTGGCCTTAAGTTTTTGAATGGCTCTGCCACCCACTAGCTGGTTGCATTGGTTCTCAGTGTATCAGTTTCTTCATTTGTAGAAGAGAAAAGGCACTGTAAGGAATGGAGGAGGTAAGTTAAGACCTAGCGCTGGCCGGCGCCATGGCTCACTAGGCTAATCCTCCACCTTGTGGCGCTGGCACACCGGGTTCTAGTTCCGGTCGGGGCACCGGATTCTGTCCCAGCTGCCCCTCTTCCAGGCCAGCTCTCTGCTGTGGCCCGGGAGTGCAGTGGAGGATGGCCCAAGTGCTTGGGCCCTGCACCCCATGGCAGCCATTGGAGGTGAACCCACGGCAAAAGGAAGACCTTTCTCTTTGTCTCTCTCTCTCACTGTCCATTCTGCCTGATAAAAAAACAAAACAAAACAAAAAAAACCTAGCGCTGTGCTGGAATGGAGGGACTACAGCTTATTTCTGTTGTTGGTATTGGTGGCACATCACTTTTGGGACACAGACACCTGCCCATTCACTGCCTTCTAGGATTCCCACAGAACCTTGAAGTAGTAGAAATCACATCATGCCCTTGAATGACACTGTGAAATGAGCCAGGTAGCCATGGCTGGGATCCCATTGCAATTCTCATAATCCCCAGCATCTAGAATCCCCAGCATATAGAATCCTATAAGGAGCTCAGAAATATTGACAAATCAGTTGTCCCATCTTCCAATTTCAAGTTTTGTCCACTGTACCACAAGCTTAATGGAATTGCTGAACCACAGGGACCTTGGGAGACTTTTTTCTTCTGCTGTTCAAGCAAAGGAACTCCTTGAACTTCCAACATGGCCAATGAATCAATCTTATGGCCCTGGGCTTTGAGTTATCTTCATGCAGTAAGAGCTCCTTGATAAACACACGTGAAATGAAGTTGCATAAAATCAAGTTGAATTAAATACAAATGCAGCACTAAAAGCAGAGCCAGACTAACATATTAAACCTATCTTAGACTTTGTTTCCAAATTTCAACTTTAATTGAGCAACGGGTAACAAGAAACAATAATTTTTACCTCTTCAATAACTCTCTTTGCAGTCCTGAAGTGCTTGTGTATACTGAGCTCCATCAAGAAAGTGTCATTTGGCAAAGTCCTAAGGGAGAAAGGAAAAAGGCAGCCAGGTCAAACAGGTCTTCTGAGGTTACCCTGGAATCAGTGAAAAAGCAAAGCAGACTCCAGAGCCCTCTTACCACATCAGTGGCACACAGAAAAACTTATTTGGAGGTCACCTGAGCCATTTCCTTGGCAACAGATTTAGGGGATTTTTCTGTGTTTTGTTTTCCAGCACTTTGCCAAATCTGGCCTTAAGTATCTCAAGGGATAGCATTTCCATCTATTTTCCTTCTTTCTAATGTGGGTAATCTGAGAGCTCTGATTGCCAGGAAAGGTTTATCTCTCATTCAATGTATAACTTCCAGATCTTTTTTCATTATTTCCTATTATACTCTTCCAATTATATCTTCTTATTCTTTTTTAGCATTGATAGTAGGAATGATTAGGATTATTAGAGCCATCATAAAGAACATTTTCATGGATGCAATTGAAAATGTCCTTTAAAAAACCTTCTTTCCTTTTTTTCTAAACTAAAACGGAGATTTGTTTATCAAAACATTTCAAATAATGTTTGAGAAAATTGTTCTGCCAGTTATGTACCGAGTTTTGAGAAAACATAAGGAAATTTTTTGGAAGCCATACATTAATGTGATTTAAAACTTACACAGACTGGTAATTGAAAAATATATTGCTATGTTGTCATTACAAGAAAACTTTATTCGCACATGAGATACTCCAAATACATGGTTTCTACTGTATGTAACTTAGGAATGCATTTTTTAAAATCCAACCATCACTCAAATTTAGATCTATCAGATTTAGAACATTATATTTTGGGAGGAATTAGATGTTTTAACAAGTGCATCTAATTAAAAGAAATACATGAAATCCAACAGAGCTATTGCACATAAATTTCAAATAAGATTAAGTCCCTTACTCCAATCTTTTCCATTAACTAAATAGTTTTTTTTTTTTTTTTAAGCTGGAGGAAGAGGAGGAGTGGATTAGGTCACTGTAACTCTTTTTCCTATGAAGTAAATAGTTTTAGTCAAAGTTAAACATGACAGAGCCTGACTTGGACACTGAGGGAAATTTTTAGTCCACAAGCAAAACCAGATAACGATCATTAAAAGCGATTTTACTTTATTTTTCAAACATCTTATCCTGCCTTAGTAATAAATGAAATCCAGATGTTGGAATGATGCAACAAACTGTTTTAAGTTCAAGGCAGCAGAGGCATGCTTTATAGTTAGGACATCCATTCATTTGAAAAACAAACCCTTTGGTTTCTTTACAGAATTGCTTTGGCTTAAGAAATCTTGGGGTCTAAATCATTCAGGATTACCAATAGCCTTCAGGAGATAAACAAACAAATAGCAGATCCTACCCAGGTACAGTCGCAACTGAAAACCATAAAGAAACACTGTTTCATCATTTCAAGTACTTTCTGTTCCAAAAATAAGATTTATAATTATGGTAAATAACTTTTTTATGGTAAATGCTTTTGTCACATAATTAATGGGATGACAAATACACACATATTAATATTCAAAATGCAAAATTAATTCAGAGTAACATTTGACTAATGATGTTCATCACTAGGGAATAGTAGAGTAAATCATTCATAAAAATTTGAAAATGTTGAGGGGGAAGCATACAGATGACTACCATATGGGCGGACAGGGCACACAAATTTAGTCTGTCGATGACTGTTCTCAACAATCTTGTGTTATGAATCATTTCTCTTCCTTGGTTTGTGAGCCTTATTGTGACTCACAATTATACTAATTACTTCTCTCTCATTTGTGATCTCCTTGAAGGATTATAAAAAGGGAAGTATCTCAAGGGCTCTCTGCTTTTCCAATAAACTAGATGAAGGCATCCTTATTGCTGAATATATCAAATGTAAATTGTGCTCTTTGATGAATGTTAAAGACAAATGTAACATTAACATGTATAATATAAAGAAGATAATGAGTAAAAACAAATAAATGATCACCTACAAAATACACTGATTTTTTTTTTTATCTGTAGGTAGGACTGATTTGTAATGAAGTTATTCACGTTATCCTACACTCTCTCTCTCCCCTTTTAAAAGATTTTATTTATTTATTTATGTGAGAGGTAGAATTACAGACAGAGAGAGGTAGAGACAGAGAGGGAGGTCTTTCATCCGCTGGTTCACTCCTTAAACAGCCAAAGGGCTGGAGTTGGGCCGATCGAAAGCCCAGAGCCAGGAGCTTCTTCTGAGTCTCCCAGGTGGCTGCAGGGGTCCAAGCACTTGGGCCATCTTCCACTGCTTTCCCAGGCCATCGCAGAGAACTGGATCAGAAGTGGAGCAGCTGGGACATGAACCAGTGCCCATATGGGATGCAGATGCCACAGGCAGACAGCCCACCACGCCACAGCACTGGCCCCTATCCTAGTCTCTTTGTAACAAATAACATTTCTGAAACATGGGTAGTGAAAGTTAGAGAGACAGTCTATGATTGAAGGGAAAAAATTAATAGAACCAGTCAGGAATTGGGTATATAATGTTAAAATGAAAGTCTTTGGCATTATTTTTAAATTATTTGACTCACTATGCAATAATGCACAGATATAGTGATTAGGCATTTGAAAGAAAATGGCTGAGCTCAATTTATATTTTTAGATAAATATAAGAAAATATAAACATGCAGCTATTTGGCTACAATTTGGGTATATACTCATAACAGATAGGATAGATGCAAATTCCCAGTCCTGCCTTCAAAAGTTTCAAGACTCAGAGCAAGGGTTGGCAAATCACAGCCCACAGGCTTGTCGCTCTCCCTCTTCGTGGAGGAACGACACTGAACCCTGCGCTGTTCTTTCGTCTGCTCGGCCCTCCCCGGGTTTGCTGCTGGTTCTTCCCGGGTTGGCTACTATCCCTTCCACCTCCGTGGAAGGGCAGTTCCCCCTGGCCGCATTCCCCACTTCCGCAGGGGAGCGGCACACCGCCAGCCGGTTCTCTCGGGGGCTGCACGGGTTCCCTTAGATGTTCCCGGTGCATGCCGTCTCTCTCCTCCTTTATAGTCCTCCTCCGCCAATCCCAACTCGGCTGCCCACACGCCGAGTACGCTGCTCTCCTCCAATCAGGAGCAAGTCCTACAGTTTATTAGTTGAACTGGAGGCAGCTGTGCGGAAGCTGTTTACTTCTCTCCCAGCGCCATATTGTGGGAGAGCAGATGCATAGAGTAAGTCCTAATTCGAGTAACTTAGTCTAGTCCGGATTGCTCCCCACAAGGCTATACAGTCTCTGCCAAACTGCACTAAGGTCACAGTGCAAAAGCTGCCGTGGAAATTATAGAAAGGAATACGAATGACTGTGTTGCAATTAAACTTCATTTCCAAAACACACAACAGCTGGATTTGGCCTGTAAGTTGCCACTGGCTCACCTCCTAAAGAAAAAAATAGTAAAAATAAATCAAAAGAAAAAGAGATAGTTCTTTGGAATTCTATTTCTGATATTAAAGGACACCTTTAGTAGGACAAAATTTTCAGAAATAATTACTAGAAAGTGTCGCTCCCCCTCTTCACGGAGGAACGACACAGGACCCTGCGCTGTTCTTTTGTCTGCTCGGCCCTCCCCGGGTTTGCTGCTGGTTCTTCCCGGGTTGGCTACCGTCCCTCCACCTCCATGGAGGGGCGGGCCCCCTGCCACTTTCCCCACTTCTGCAGGGGAGCGGCACACCGCCAGCCAGCTCTCTCGGGGGCTGCACAGGTGTTCCTCTTAGATGTTCCTGGTGCATGTTGTCTCTCTCCTCCTTTATAGTCCTCTTCCACCAATCCCAACTCTGCTACCCACACGCCGAGTATGCTGCTCTCCTCCAGCAGGTCCTACAGTTTATTGGTTGAACTGGAGGCAGCTGTGTAGAAGCTGTTTCCTCCTCTCCCAGCGCCATATTGTGGGAGAGCAGATGCATAGAATAAGTCTTAATTCCAGTAACTTAGTCTAGTCCGAGTTGCTCCCAGTTGCTCCCCACAAGAAAGATAACAAAATTGAAGACATAAGGAATGTTGACTCAAATAGGACTAGTGGGTGCCATGATTCCAGAGAAGGACAAGAGGGTAAGGGCACAGGATTTGCCTAGAAAGAGGACTGCTGTGGGAAGTAAAGAAATCCACAAAGCCTTTGTGAGTCTAGTGGCCCTGGGCAGTGGTTCTCCCCCAAGAGTAACTTTGTCTCCAGGGGACATCTGAGAATATCTGGGCACAATTTCAGTTGTTATCTTGGGGACTGGGAGGGGATTCCTATTGGCATTTAATGATTGACCAGTCAAAATATCAGTAGCACCAGAATTCGAAGCCCATGTGCTAGACTACTGAGACAATGCTGGCGACTCACAAACATACATACCCACACACAATCATAATTCTTACTCTTGATTTCAGCTCAGGCATTTCCTATAAATCACTTTGTTATGTTCTTATAGTCTCAGGTATAGAATTTTTCTGCCCCTATTGAATTCCACACAGAAAGTCCTCTGAACCCTCTTAGCGCTTGTGGGTCCCAGCCCCAGCCCCACCACACTCATGTGCAGCGAAACACCTTATTATTTGGCTAAAAATCATCCTATAAGCATTCTACTTCCTTCTTTTCCACATAGGTTTTTTCCTACAACTTCACTCATTTTCCATCTTTAAGGAAGTCTTTCCCCCAATCCTGCCCCACGTTACCAAGGAAATTCCTTACCTGTTTTCCTTCTTTCCTATTCCAAAATATAAAAATCACTTTTTGTTATTCCTGCTATCTTTTCCAGGTTTCTCCCTTGTCTTCTCCCTCCTGTTGCCCAAGTTCTGAAAAGGCAGACAGCACCTGCAGCATATTTTGTTGCAACCCAGCCTCTATTTCAGTAGTTGTCCACAAAGACCTTGGCCAAAACTAGGCCTAAAGCAAAAGGTCTTTCTCAGCTAAAGCCCACAAGTCCTTCTCTGATGCATACTAAGGTGATTCTGCCACCTTTTTCTGTTACCCTTTAGCCATCCCTCTTGTGAAATGTGTACCAGAAGACTTTTAT